TTGAAGTCCACCCAGCTTGCCCAGGTTGAGAAACACCGGATGAACTAGATCGCAAGGCCAACTGAGGAATTCTGGGAGTTGAAGTCCACCCAGCTTGCCCAGGTTGAGAAACACCGGATGAACTAGATCGCAAGGCCAACTGAGGAATTCTGGGAGTTGAAGTCCACCCAGCTTGCCCAGGTTGAGAAACACTGGATGAACTAGATAGAATTAGATTCCTGGACCCAATTGGCAGCGAACCTGCTTGTTAACGGAAACAAGCCACGATTCCCGTCTTCTGCAGCCAAACTCCGATCAAACTCTCTTCCTGCAAAACGGGGAGAGCCTCCCGCGATGTCGCTCACCTACTTCGTGCTGCCCGGGGTTCTCTGAAATCTCCATGACGTACATTTTCAAGCCCAGGTAACTTTTCCCGATGCTGTAGATCCTTGTGATATCCGGACACGTGTCGCTGACGTTTTTCATCAGCTGCCGGGAGAGAATTAAATTTCTCAATCAGTTAAAACCTCTGAAGTTGAAGAATCGAGGGTGATCGGCTAGGATCCCTCCCTCCCTTTGAGGGTGGAGAAGAAGGAGGTATTAAGGGATGACCCAGGCAAGTTTTTTTCTCTCCTAGGAATCTAAAATCTGGATGTTAAAAGAAAAAAAAAAATGAGGGGGGGGGCAGGAGTTAATTTGCTGGTGTGATGTTTAAACTGGTCACTGAAAAATTGAGACATTTTAAACAGACAGTCACTTGTCTGAAATGGTGTAGGTTCTCCTGTTCGAGCAGGGGGCTGGACTAGAAGACCTCCAAGGTCCCTTCCAACTATTCTATTCTATTCTATTCTATTCTATTCTATTCTACTTCATTCCATTATTCTATTCTATTCTTCCATATTCTATTCTATTCTATTCTATTCCATATTCTATTCCATTCCATTCCATATTCTATTCTATTCTATTCTATTCCATATTCTATTCCATTCCATTCTATTCTATTCTATTCTTCCATATTCTATTCTATTCTATTCTATTCTATTCTATTCTATTCTATTCTATTCTATTCTTCCATATTCTATTCTATTCTATTCTATTCTATTCTATTCTATTCTATTCTATTCTATTCTATTCTATTCCATTCCATTCCATTCTATTCTACTTCATTCCATTATTCTATTCTATTCTATTCTATTCTATTCTATTCTATTCTATTCTATTCCATATTCTATTCCATTCCATTCTATTCTATTCTATTCTTCCATATTCTATTCTATTCTATTCTATTCTATTCTATTCTATTCTATTCTATTCTATTCTTCCATATTCTATTCTATTCTATTCTATTCTATTCTATTCTATTCTATTCTATTCTATTCTATTCTATTGTATTCTGAATATTTAAGGCAAAACTGCTTTTTTAAAAACTACAGGAGTCCCCGACATACAACCCAATATTTTTGTCGCC